AACACATTCAATGGCATCAAGTTCACAATGGAGACCGAAAAGGATAAACAACTGGCATTGTTGAACATCTTGATCATCAGAACGCCATCAGGAAAACTGGACACAACAATCTACCGCAAAGCAACGCATACGGATCAAATTCTAAACTTCAAAAATAATCATCTACAAAGCCAAATAAGAACCTTGTTTGGAGGAATCCAAACGCACTTCAGCAACAACCCATTCAAGACGAAAGAAGAAAGATATCTCCTCAGAGTATTTGCTTGGAACGGCTACATCCACAACATCATTAAAAGAACTCTAACCCGAAGAAAGAAAGAAACAATAGACAGAGAATGGACCGAAACCACAATCATGGCGGAGGGAAAATGTTGGGTGGAGGAGAATAGATATATAAAAGAACGGATACAAGCAGAAGACTGCTACTTCACAAGCTCTGATGATGTCACCTCGGCTGGTGATGAAACGCTTGCAAACAAATTGCCAAGGAGGCGAAAAAGAATTCAGTTCACCCGACCTACGAGAACCAAATGTCAATACTTTTTCAACTCAGCTCTTGTTTGCCATGTTGAGTAACTGGTACTTATGTAACAAGGTCGGTTTCCTCGGGGTGAAAGAAAATCAGAGGTCATCAAACTACGACCCGGTATACAGACAGTGAAATCTTGACCGGAAGTCGCCTAATCGTTGATTTGACTTACCTTGTAGCACGGCTGTTTCGCAGACAGATGTGTGAATGTATCTGTTAACTCAAAAAGGACGGATGGTTAAATTACTGGTTGCACATCTATGTGGATACTGTTCTTGTGTTTTGAGCTCATATTTAGTCACATAAGGATCAACAAAAAATTGAAGCAAAAAAAGGCAGATGAATAGTAAAACCTTCATTTTTATTCTCCAGCTGGGCGACAGCAGCGTAAAACATGGTTGGGACTGAAGTCGACCCCGCCCCATCCCAACAGAAGAAACACACTTGCTTCGCAATAAACTATTCAATCTGTGCGCGGAGACGAAACGAACGTTTAAAGAAATAGGAATTACACACAGGAACCATATCCGACGATTCTTGGTGTCTATAAATTAACACGAAATTGACTCGTCACAAAATAGACACCGCCTTTTAGATTTCCAGCTCAATGGTGGTTTATAAACAATCAACTCTATTGTTTCGGAGATGCATTCCTCTTTTAGGTGTTTCGTTGTCAAGAGATCATTCATACCAAATGCGGTCACATTATTTGCAGTGGAATTCATGATAATATTATTGTGAATGATGTTAATTACAACGTGGACAGGCAAATACAGTGCGACTGCTCTATCGATTCATAACGTCTTGTCCCTCTCACCCGTGACAGTCTCCGCTAACTGATTGGATCATTTTCTGTGGGTTGTTCAACTTGGAATCCGTCAACTTGACATTGGTTCGTAATTTGTGATACTCTTGTAATCCAGTTGTGTGATGATGGAACTCCTGATATGCACAGTGTAAGCTCACGGGGCATTCTAAAGGCTCGAGGTTATGAACAAGATGGGGCTAAGTTGGGTATGTTGCAGCGGAACCATTCGACCGATTGATAAATGAACCCGACAGATTGTGTGATTGTCAGATAGGTTATAAATCACATGCTACCTGAGCGTTACAGTGACGCACCATACGGACAATTCGGGATGGAAAACGTTTACGCGATGATGCTTTCGTAGAAAACGGTTCAATGAGCTTACCAATGATCAAAGTGATAGTATGGTTGATGATGTCCCGTGTTTCACCTTCAGTTTGAACGATGGATTCGCACTACTGGTGAAATCCAATCAGGTCAAAACAGCTGTGCAATGCTTCGTAGCTTTCCAGCTTAGTCATAATTTGATCTGCGCACGATGAAATTAAGTTAAAAAAGAATATATTCATTGTTTTGAAGCCATATGGTGATGGAAGGTGGTACAAAGAGAGCCCTGGTTAGCGAACCAATCAAGAATGGGGCCCGTCCAACCAGATGTGCAGATGTAGCGGCTGGAATTACTTCGCGAGACAATGTCGACTATCACTCGGAACGGACGAATCGACAATTACAGCCCGAGGGACAATCCGCATCTAGCCAGAGAGATATTCACCGAATGCCACAACGTCGGAGCTTTCGATCAATGTATCTTGCGCTACGATCGGGTTAAACCAGTTGGAATGACACGCGGAAAAAGAGGCAACTTACGTGCCAAGTGCGGACTAAAACCAACAGGGATTGACCAACAGAGTGAGGCATGAATCATCCTGCAGCGCGGTTAAGAATTGATTGCCTATAATTGAACGCATACATTGGTTGTTTTTGGAATTGGATCAATAAACGTTTTGCCAGTCGACTCGCCTTCTCTCTACAATAAAACATTGAGCAATTTATTTTTCTCATTGAACTTATTATCATTAGGAGATATTGTGGGATTTTTTCAGCAACGCAGAGTAATTCAATTCTTCTGAGACTCTTTGTGCCCTACACTAAAATTCCTTACATTCATCTTCTACCGATAAAATTAACTTGTTTGAGTATGCCATCCTGAATATGTCCTTTGCATTTCAGAAATTGATGCAAGACGTGCTCGCGGAATACCAAGCCAGTGGTGAACAGAACACGTCATCCATTAAGGTAGGAATTCTATTTACTTGTTGACACCCCTCAATACGTTAGCCCACTGGCCGTCGAAATGAATGATATTCAGATTTATGAATCACAATGAAACAAAAGATTACATTCCCAACCTTTCAAAAAGGTGTTTACAGATGAATCTTTACGGTTTTTCGTTCGATTATTGTCTACCACCTCAATTGTGGCGTTTACATGCAATGGAAAGTACATGTGTCATGCACATGTGCCATGTACAAAAACCCCTCATTGGGCAACGGAAGAGATTAGGTGAGGGTGGTGCAGTGGTTTAGTTGTTGTCACCAGCGTGCGTTAGATCCTGCGGTCCGAGGTTCGAGCCCCGCCACCGCCGCCCAACTTTGGTAGTAGGCAGCTTCGCTGCAACCCGTTTCTATCCCAGCCCGGGGCCAGCTTGACCTTATGTGGTTCGTCACTCCAAGTCCCGGGGAACCAAATCGATTGACAGACTTATGGACTCATTGTCTTACTCCCAGGTTTGTGGCAATTACAGCTGATTATGGGAGTTTAGAAATTTACATTATAAAACCCCTGTTCGCAGCTGATACTCGTTCTCTAAGATGATTGTGTTTCACACATTCTTTGGTGAAACGGTGTGAGAGAAGTAGAGGACTTATAAACAGGCAATAACGTTTGGATATAAAGTGTTCTTATACGCATTTAACTCAGTTACTTGTAAGTGATAGTGTGGGATGATTGATGTTTATTGATTTCAACTGAGCATCCTTCGGACTTCACCTTCACGCACAATCCTCAGTTCATCCATTCAACCATACACTCGGAAGCACTATTGTTTTCCGAGCTTTCCGATCGTGCACAGCCATTTAGATTGTTTAACTTGGCTTTGTATAACGCTTTTACGCATCGTATTCACCTGTCGTTTTCCATTTCATTGTTTTACATTTTGATCACCTGTACTTATAATTACGCGAGTGTCCTATCCATGTTTGAAGGATAGCTGAGGGAAGAAGGTGGCTAAGGGAATAGAATGTG